CCGTCGTTCCACCATCGATCTGGCGTGTGACCTGAGTGGCTGATTGGATGCGTGTCCGATCGATTGACTCGCGCGAGCGCTGTGGATTGACTGGATATGTGACTCACTTGTTTTTGCTTGCCTGCCACGAAAGCGGACCAGCTTGGCCGCGTGTCCACAATACACCCGTGTCCGTACTTACGTGTTCTTCTGACTTACTGTGAACTACAGTAGGTATGTTCAGCTACAATTCGAAATCCTGTCAAAGCTAGTGAAGTGTAGTCAGCCTCCCAGTAATAACACTGCGACCAATGCGCAGTCATCCTTGTTTTTATACCACGAGATTTGGTAGAACAGACGAAATTCCTCACGTTCTTTCTCACTGTCAACAAATATTTTATCAGAAGCTAAAACAGGGGACGTGAAGCGGAATGTAACAAATGCTTTGGCCCGTCATCCTCTTGTTCTGTTTATCCTTGTGGGGGAGAAGATGTGAGGCGACTGAAGAATGTGAGAAGTTTCAGGACTTTGTTGGAGCTTTGATTTAAAAAGGCATTAGCGCTTCGTGTGGAATCATTAATGTATCATTCTTGTGAGCGAGCAGTTGATGGCTAACCTTTTGAGTATGTTCACATGTATCTTCCCAGAGTATGGGTCGTGGATGCATCGGCAATATCAACCTTTTTTGAACCCCATTACAACTACAGTTTTTATTTTGTGACACTCAATATTAGCATTCTACTTTGTTGTGACTATTGCTATGTGGCATTTGATGGTTTTTGTTGGTGTTTTGTCCACTTCCGTAACCCTCACGTTCCTATACGCTTTGACGCGTCAAGTTTCGTTATGAACATTCTTCCGAGTCAATCATAAAATATGTAGCAAGGTTTTCGAAACAGCAGCAGTAGTTATTCTCTTTAAATTTTTTTCTAAGCCAAACAGAGTGGGGAATTTCGTAGCATTTATTATTCCCACTGTTATCGATCTTAAGCACCCGCAGCGTGCAGATGTTTTCGTACCACCAGTCCCTCCTCTCAGTGCAAAGTTTAGCCTTATTTATGTTGTCACGCCCTTCGAAAACATTTAGCTCCTTTTATTGCTATCCCAGACGTGGGTGGCTGCGCATTTTATTCTGGTCATGGTGAAAGGAAGAAAGCCTTAGCTGGGAGTCGCTTATTAGAGAAACGCCAACTGAACAGTTACGAACTTCTGGACAGAGGAGCAAAAGTCTCATATTCATCTTGTTTACAAAACTGAATACCCATCTTCTCCTTGAACGCGTCTTCCTGAACTTTCCTGGATATTCATCTACTGTTACTCAATTGCAAGCAAATGCTACAAGTGACTCCAAAATTCCGCAACAGATTTCACTTTTCAAGAGACACGCAGCAGATTCACGAGAAAACATACTACTCACATGCCCCCCAACCAGTAGTAGCACCGTTACAAAGGTATTCGAACCGCTAAAAATCTTTCACAGATTCACTAATCTATGCATTTGAGTCTTTCTCTTACGGTACTTGAAATATGTCCATTAGATGTTTCATCCGAGAATCCTTGAGGTTTCGTGCGATGCGCGGAGCTGATGGACCCCACAAGATGAGTTAGCTGCATGATAAATAAATAAATAAAT